CATCCAATAAAATGTTTGTGCTCTTCACGTCACGATGGATGATGGTGCCCTTGGCCCTAGTATGAAGGTAGCTCAACCCTCGTGCCGCGCCAATACAAATTTGAAGCCGTTGCTCCCAAGAAAGAGGCGGGTTCTTATTGTGGTAGAGATGGTCGGCGAGGGTCCCACGTGCCATGTAATCATACACCAAGATCATCTCATTGTCGTCTGTACAATATCCAATGAGAGACACTAAGGAGCGGTGGCGGAGCTGGGAGAGCAGCTCGATTTCCGTCTTGAACTCATGGGCACCCTGTGATGACTCAGATTTTAGCCGTTTGATCGCAATGGGTATGGTCCCACTGTCGGCGAGGTTGATGTTGCCTTTATACACGTGGCCGAACCCACCAACGCCAATAATGAAAGCATCGTCAAAGTTTTGTGTGGCGGCTTTGATCTCAGCCAGTGAAAAGTAGTGACACAAATCGGACGGCAGGGATAAGCCGCGTGACTTGGTGGAGTTCGCCGCATGGTGGCTGGAGCGCCCTCCATAATTACGCCGTCGCCTGAGAATCAAGAATAAACACAAAACAGAGAGCACAACAAGTGCGCTAGAAACTACACCAGCAACAATGGCAACCAAAAGTGTAGTCTTTGACTTGGGTTCTCCTGTTCTCGATTGCGCCGGGGTGTGCAGGGTGGCATGAGGTGGATCGGGGTTGGGTCCGGCGAGATTTCCCGTTGTGTCATTCACTTTGAAGATTTCAAACCCATTCAAGATTGCATCTGAATATGCAGTCCTCCAAAGGTTTACTTGCAGTGCGATGGAGAGATTGACTTTCTTCTCGCTTCCAGCAGGCATGAACACCAAGTAGTTTTTGTATATTGGAATTCCATTTCCACCACTCCATTTGATTATGTCCGCAAATTTTTCAGCTGTTATATTGGCTATGTAAATTTAAAACACTCGATCTCCTATGATTTCAAATTCGGGTTGGAACTCACAGAAATGAAGCCTAACCAAGTAACTAAACTTGGGATCAACAGGAAATTGCCAAGTGAGGTTGTAGTGGTGGTTCCTGCCGTTGCTGTTGCCCATTGACCTGCCACTCTGGTACACTTGTTTTGGAGCAGAGTACTTTGGTATTTGACTTAAATCCCAGTTGAGTTGGATGCTAAGATTTTGTGGCAAAACACTCCACATTAAACTTAACTCCTCCAAGTACCTTTCCTCATAGTTATATGCAGACCACTTGCGGTACATGCCAGTGTCTTCATAAGAAGGGACTGCGATTCCGCCCACGTTGATTCGGTACACCATCTCCAGAGCAGAGATGTTTTCTACGCGAATCGTATTTTCGCTGCCGATATATTCAATTCCATCGGCGCTTTCTGGGGCAGTGTAGTAAAGATTGACGGGCATTGATACAATTTCAATTCCGTTAATAAACGCATAGGCATCTGGGATTGCTCTGCTTGGAGTGAACGTGATGCTTAGATTATGTTCTTCTTCGTCCTCAATGTTCATACAGAATTCTCTGTATACCGTCTCCTCCGGCCCAGAAGCAGCAGCAGTGACTGACGCATTGAAGTCATGGAGAAGGGTAAAACCACCGGCTTTGACAGAGAAGAGGGCTTTGGAGGGATCAAAGTCGGGGTATGAAGCTGGGTAGAAATACAGACGGACGAACTTTTGGCCGGGGGTGAGGTCAAAAAATATGTAGGTAAATTCAGAGTGAGAAAGCCTCGCTGTGGTGTAAGGCACTTGTTGGACCGTGTACGAATGAGGTGCTTCTTTGAATATGGATTTGTTGCCAACTGCTTGGAGTTCAAGGGGTGAAAAATATGAGTTGATATCTCCACTCCAACTTCGGTTATCATATGCATTTAATATGTTGCCGGAATAGCCACAATTGACGGTTATATCTTCGACTGGCTTATAGATAGGTGGCGAATCTCCGGCAACGAATATGGTGACAACGATCATGTGCAGAAACAAGGAAAAGTAGAGAAAAGTGCTGAGAATTGGTTTCATCATGGTAATTGCATCTAGGGAGAGTTAAAGATATGTGTGGATCTGTGGATCTCTGATTGGAATTTCTATTACACAAGTGGGGACGTACACATATGATCATCAATGACTTTTCCAAATTCCAAGTCAAGCTTTTGGCTGCATCTACTCTAAATTCAAGATTCTTGATCTACATCAGTCAATTTAATAGAGACTTTGATAACAACTTAAACTTCTTTTTTGGGTTGGCCGTGGACTTGAACAATTAACAAGTCTTTGGATTACAATTTGTACAAGATAATAAGAGAACAGACTGGGGACTGTAATGTACACGTTGTCTTCTTTTCAAGCATGCGCCCATCCAAAACGTGCCTAGTTAGTATTCTTGAGTCATGATCTTGTCCAAATTAATCTGTTTGCAAAGTACCAATTAAGCACTTGTATACGACTAAGAAACAGAAAAGCATTCCACAAGAGGATGGTATTCCCATACATATACTTGGAAATAAATGCACTCATTTCAAACTTTTATTTTTGTTGACTTAAAATCACAAGTTATGGTTGACAAGAATAAGTTATCCTACGAAATTGCACATAATGATTGATAATTTGAACTCCAAACTGGTGCACTGCAAAATATAATTAATCATATATTTATTCAAAGGACAAAAATCAAAATTCTAGTTTAATTAAAATATATATTAATTTTTTTAAAAGCTGAAAATCTAACAACCCAAAGAAAAATTTAAGTTCAATTCATATTCAACTGTATAACAGATGCTGATTTTGTTCAAATTGATCTATTTGCCAGAAGCAATTAAATCCCCAGCAGCCATCCGCCCCACTCGGGGTGAGGGAAGTGCTTCTCTGACTTGGGATTAGGTGTTGGTGTTAGCTTGGGGTAATTCAAAGGGGGAGAATTTTGAGTTGATATCTCCAGCCCAATATCGGTTGTCATATATGTTGAGTGAGGTTCCAGAAGAGCCACAGTTGATGGTGATGTCTTCTATCGGAGTGTAGATAGGTGTAGAGAGTAGGGTGGCAATTTGCAGAAACAGGGGAAGGAGGTAAAGAGGCAGAGGAGGGAGAAGGAGTTTCTTCATGGTTATTGCTTTGGAAAGGTGTTTGGTGCTAATTGGGTTCTTGATAATAGCAAGAGAAGAGAAAGATCAGATACTACTTGGGTTCTTCATGCATATAAATAAAATTAATCCCATATGAATAGTAATTACCTCTAGATTGCCATGGCAATGGGTGGAAAAGCAACAAAAATATTGCTAGGGCAGATACTATTTACGTGAACAATAAATGTCATTGCCTCCACTTATCTTTTGTCATGGCAAATATGTGGAAGTGCTCTAAGGGAGATGGTCCACGTGTGTTTGGATTCTTATGCCGGTCTCGAATCTGAAAAGCTTTTTGTGTCAAGTGACTCTCAGCTCTCTATCCATGAAGACCGCAACTCATCCACATCCACATGACCAACATCCCCTGGAGTAGTTGACGGGGGAGGTAGACTAACTATACAGAATTTGTACAGAGATTAACTGGAGATGTGAAAGGAAAATAAACTAGGACCACAAACACTAGAATTGATTGAAATAAAATTGATGGGGCAGAGGAATATCTTGTGAAATATTATTGTGGAACTTGGTTGTGTGTGGGAATTGGTTTCAAACCAACAATTGGGTTTCGATAATAGAATCTCCAATACTCCTCACTCTGAAAAAAGATAGCCAAACCAATCAGTCAGCAAAGAATACGAATAAAATTTGAATTCTCTTTAACTATTTCAGAATAATCTTGTATAGGAACCATCATCTGCGTAGAACATATATACTAATCCTGGCCCTATCGCTTGAATTAACAAAAACCTAAAAAGCAGCCCCTTTGCAACACTTGAATTAAAACAAGAAGAACCAAAATTTACATGCAAACTAAAGTTTAAGGAATGACGTACGGAACAAGAAGAACCAACACATTTTATTTTCATCTGGAAGGTGTACGGAATCAGGAAGGCATCATTTCTTACCGAAAGACAAGTTAAACTTAAAAGAAGACCAAACTATTCGGGCAATCATTACACTTAGAAACTTCTAAGACCTCAAGTCTTAATCTCTCGAGTAAACATTTTGCTGCATAAACACTACTAAGACCTCAAGTAACACCAACAACAAGCAATTTATTACACTTTGAAACTCCACCAAATTAACCAAAGCTATAAAATGTTCAAAACCAATACAAGCTTCATTTCATCATTGAATCGCCTGGCTCAAACCTGACCTCTGAATCGCCTGGCTCACCACGGGTAGTCCTTTCACACTTGCTCCTTTCATAATCAGGATCATCCGTGGGCAGCTTATACTGGCAAAACCGGGCATGTATTTCGAATGCCCAACCAGGGCACAATGCAGTCCTGATGGTAGTAATGGCAACAGGGTAAGCCCCTGACCTTATCCTCCGATGCAATGCTGTCTTTACAAACAGCACAGAACACTTCTTCATTCTTCAACTTCTCCTTTGTGAACTTAACGAAGGGAAGATCCTCGACAACACTTGAAGCCGCCGGAGGATACTACCTTTCATGGCATTAGCACCCATCACGAATTGCCCGAAAATTGTGTTGATGTACTCTGCAGTCTCTAAGTCAACATCTCCGGAAATTGTTGACTGTCAATAGAATTTCCCACTCCAGGCTTCTTGTTTAATTAATGCTTTAACAAGATTTGGCATCTCTGGTGTAATGCATGTATGCATTACTTAATTCTGGGTGGTGCATTTTTGAGTAAAACCGACTCACACACCAAATGATGACTATGAATTTCAAAAAATATATATATCCCCTTACCTTCTAATTACTTGGTAAAATTCCCATGACTTTCTGATGTTTAGATTAAAGACTTGCATGTAAAAAAATGAGCATTCTGTTAGTCCAAGTAATTTATTTGCATTCAATATTATTGGTCTCAAATACAAATACATTTTTTGGGTAATTCAAAAATGTTGTCCATTATCTCCCATTTGGATCATTAATCTCAGAAAAGATCGTCTCAGATATACATTGGATGGATTCATCTGTAGCGCAACCTGGCGTAGCACTTCTAAGTTCGGCATCGGCACTGTCATTGACGAAGGCAACCTCATTGTTCCTTTCAATGCAGTTGCGGTGGAGCTGCAATGCAAGCTCAAGCGCCCTCACAACATCATTCATTGACGGCCGGTCGATCCCATTATCATTCATGCAACTCATTGCAATCTCAACAAACTGATTCAGACACTGAATTTCAATCTTACCCCTTATGCTTGGATCAATAATTTGATCAAGTTCCCCGTCGCGATGACAGCTCCTGACCCACTCAGCCAAGTTCATTTGTCTCAGCTCCACCGTATGCATCACAGCCGGCCTTGCACACAGTACCTCACACAATACTACACCAAACGAATACACGTCCGACTTCTCAGTTAGCCGTTGACGTCGGTAGTATTCCGGGTCCAAATATCCGAAACTACCTTTCACCATTGTACTAATGTGAGTCTTGGACGTGTCGGTGGTGCCCATTTTTGACAATCCAAAGTCCGATACTTTGGCCACCCACTTCTCATCCAATAAAATGTTCGTGCTCTTCACGTCACGGTGGATGATGGTGCCCTTGGCCCCGGTATGAAGGTAGCTCAACCCTCGTGCCGCGCCAATACAAATTTGAAGTCGTTGCTCCCAAGAAAGAGGCGGGTTACCATTGTGGTACAGACGGTCGGCGAGGGTCCCACGTGCCATATAATCGTACACCAAGATCATCTCATTGTCGTCTGTACAATATCCAATGAGAGACACTAAATGGCGGTGGCGGAGCTGGGAGAGCAGCTCGATTTCCGTCTTGAACTCATGGGCACCCTGTGATGACTCGGGTTTTAGCCGTTTGATAGCTACAGGTGTAGCCCCACCGTCGTCGATATAGCCTTTGTACACGTTCCCAAACCCGCCAACTCCAATGATGAAACTATCATTGAAGTTTTGTGTGGCGGCTTTGATCTCAACCAGTGGAAAGTAACGACATAAATAAGGGGGTAAAGATGACCCGCGAGTCTCTATTGACTTGGTCGGCCCGTGGATGGAGACAAAGGACTTGGCTTTCAGTCGTCGCCTGAAAATCAGGAATCCAAAAAGGACAGAGAGCACAAGGAGGCCGGAAGCTACACCGGCAGCAATGGCGAGTATACGATTGGACTTGGTGTTGTGTTTTACTGAACTTGACGGCGTCAAATCGGTGGGTCCAGCAAGATTGCCATTTGAGTCACTTAGCTTGAAGATTTCAATCCCATTCAAGATTCCAGCATTTGGATTTGCTTGCAATGCGACAGAGAGGTTAACTTTGCTCGGGGTTCCACCAGCGGCGGTAGACATGGATACCAAATAGTCTCTGTACACTGGTCTCTCCTTTCCACCACTCCAGTCAATTACGTCGGCTCCTTGTTCTGCGGTTAGATTGGCAATTTGGATGGTAAAAATTCGGTCTCTAACCTTGGTGATTTCAGGCTGAAACTCACAAAAATGAAGCCTAACCAGGTATGAAAACTCGGAATCTACAGGAAATTGCCAGATGAGATTAAAGCTCTTGTTTATGTTGGCGTCCTCACCCATTGACCGACCGGTTTGGTAAACTTCTTTTGGCGCAGTGTACTTTGCAATTGTGTTAAAGTTGAGTTCTATACTAGTATTTTGTTGCAGAACGTGGCTCAAACTTAAACTTGAAGTGCCCAAGTAACTTTTCTCCTCATCATAACTATCCCATTTGCGGTACATGCCAGTATCTTTCTTGGGAAGTAGTAAGGCTCCCCCGACATTCAATCGGTAGAGCATCTTTAGAACAGTAGTGTTTTCAATGCGGACGTTGATTTGGTTGCCAACAAAGGCAATCCCATCGCTGTGCGCTGGAGTGTAGTAAAGATTGCTGGGCATGGATACAATTTCAATGCCGTTGATAAAGGCATGCGCATCTGGGCTTGCCCGGCTTGGAATGAATGTGATGTTCAAACTCTCTTCTCCCTCCTCAATGCTTACACAGAATTCTCTGTATATTGTCTCCATCCCAGAAGCATCGGCAATGAAAGAAGTGTTGAAGTTGTGGAGAAGGGTAAAGCTACCAGCTTTGACGGAGAAGACTGCATTGGAGCGGTCGAAGTCAACACCGTATGAAACAGGGTTGAAATACAGACGAATGAACTTTTGGCCGGTGGTGAGTGGAAATGTGTATGTAAATTCAGAGCGAGACAGCCGTGATCTGTTGTACGGCACAGCTCCGCTGGCAAAGGAGGACGACGGAGGTGCCTCTCTTACGAGGGATGTGTAACTTGCAGCTTGGTGTACTTCAACGGGTAAAAATTCTGAATTTATGTCTCCAGTCCAATTTCGGCCGTCAACCTGATTGACCAGCTGGCCGGAATAGCCGCATTGAACGGTGATAGCATCGACCGGAATGTATGGAGGTGGGTCGGGGTTTGGTCCGGCAAGATTTCCATTTGTATCACTGAGTTTGAAGAGTTCAAGGCCGTTCAAGAGTGCAGCATTGTATGCAGTCATCCAATCTCTTGGGTTTGCTTGCAGTGCAAGATAGAGCTTAACTTTCTTTTGATCAGGGCCTGCAGGCATGAACACGATGTAGTCCCTGTAGATTGGTCTCCCATTTCCACCACTCCACATGATTATGTCGGCTTGTGGCTCAGCAAGTTGGTTATCCACATAGATTAGAAACGATCGGTCCCCCTTGTCCATAATTTCAGGCTCAAACTCACAGAAATGTAGCCTTAGCAGGTAAAGAAACTTGGGATCTACGGGAAATTCCCAGGTCAGTTTGTAGCTCTTGTTTTGGGTGCGGTTGCTGCCCATGGACCGACCCGTTTGGTAAACTACTTGTGGAGCAGAGTACTCTGGTATTTTCGTAAAGTTGAGTTGAAGGCTAACGTTTTGTGGAAGAACAGTCCACCTGGAACTCAAATCATCCAAGTACTTTTGCTCGTCTACTACACTGTCCCAAGTGCGGTACATCCCAGTGTCTTGGTCGAAAGAGAGTGCACTTCCACCGACGTTTATTCGGTACACCATCTCCATCGCCGTGATGTTTTCGATGCGATAATTGACTTCGTTGCCTACATAATCAACTCCATGGCTTTCGGATGCAGTGTAGTAAAGATTGGTGGGCATGGACACAATCTCAATCCCATTGAC